TTAATTTAACTTCTAGTTTACTGGAAAATATGTTTTTATGTCTCTGCAATTGAATATTTTGTAAATAGCAAATTTTCATGATTTTCGCATACACGTCTCAACAGCCAATCAAAAGACCTCTACTAAGAGATATCTTTGACTGCTTCTGCTGGACTCCCTGCGTAATTTTACTTTGTAAATACATATTTTATTTTGTATATAGTCTTTCTAATTGTGAGAAAAATGCACTTTGATGTGTTTATGCACTGAATATTTGTAAAAATGCACACTGTACCTGAAACTTGGACCAGCATCTCTCCAGCCTACCAGACGCCGCTATAGCCTCACGTGACAAAGTAGTCACACCCTCTTTCATTTTGCATCCTGTCCTCCGGACACACTCATGCATTTGCTATACCTGCAATGTACTTTTTAATTCATGACAGCCGGTATACAGCTTGCTATCTGCAAGCTACACACGGCAATAGTGGGAAAGAAACTTCCATTAACTTTGAGCGAGCATTGCCCCTTCCGTATTTTAACTTCGAATGTCTTTGTGCATGTTGATAAATATTCAGTAAAGTAGGCTTAACTCTGATTAAAAATCCGATTATAACCACGTGTTTCTGAGACTCCTTCCCCTTTACTTTTCTTCTTTCTAGGTATTTCTTTCTCCTGATGAGGAGGGACCTTTAGCTGCCTTCGAAATCGATTGAGTGTTTCATTATACTTACGCTATATACAAGGTTGTTTTTACGATTTTGAATATTTATTTTGTTAAGAAAAAATTATGGTTCTTTCATCTGATTTAAGATCGTGTATTCTCTCTGCATTTAGTTTGGGTTTGTGACCAGTACTCTACACTACGGAAGTTAAAACCACTCTAGTAATGTATCCGCCTGACTTTTACAAAAGTCGTAACATTCAAGACTAGAAGAAAGAAGAAATAAACTGTTTCATATTTTCAAAAACAAGCAAATGTGTATATTGCTGCCCTTGTAAAATATTTTCCCCATTATAATCCAATTAAATTAGGGGTTTCTAAAACTGGAAATCTGTAATAATACCTTTATCAGAAACTGAAGCCTTAAAGGAACATTTGTCATCTATCCGTACTTTACAGAAAAAATCTTTGCTTTAAACATAATCCATTCTGATTTATTGCAGCTGATAGATTACGAAGAAAATTATTATAAAAAAGTATTGAAAAGTTCTATATCTTTTGTAAAATTATTATGTCTGCTATTTCACGTACTTGGAATATCTCACGTACAATTCTTTTAATGGGCTTTTAGAAAAATATGGTTATCAAAGACGAAGAAATGTAAGTTCTTTATCACGTGATATTTGTGAGGAATTCATTGGCATTATTAAAAATATTTAATGGTATATATAACAAAAGAAATTAAATCAGGAACTTAATTACAGCATTATACTCAATTCTATACCGGGTAGTTCACACACTGATCAACTGATATTAGTTATACGGAAGGTATTGCAAGTAGTGTTGTAAAAGATTTATAGGGCTTTATATTGAATGAAGAACGTCAGGTATTGTTCGCTTTAGTAAAATAAGGCATAGAAATTAAACTTTGTCGAGGGCAAAATTGAACAACACATAAAATATATCAGAAGAATACTCAGGATTGCAGGCTTAGATTAAATCGGTAAAGTGCGACCCACATCCCCTGTGATATTTTTTCTTAAAATTCAGCGGGTAGTTTTGCTGCAGAAAGTTTTAATGTCATTGTTTAATATTTAATGTTTGTACAAAAGTTATTAACTTTTTTCCTACAAAACCCTATAGATGTATTAGAAAAAAGATGAAAAAAAAAAAAAAAAAAAAAAAAGATGAGTGTAGAAAAGTTATAAGACAAATTTTATCCCTCACAAGTATAACACACTGCTACAGAAATATCATTAACTTTTTCTAATGTAAAAATTATTAAAATTTTTTTTCTTACTCCAGTTTCCAAGGTATCCAGAAAAAGATCTTGCTGTATCTTAAAAAAGTAATGAAACTGTTAAAGAAGTGCGTCTACTATAGTATATGGAAAAAGAACTATGAAATAATATCAATACTTGAAAATAATCGATGAATTTTCTGGATGTTATCAGCTCTTCTACTTAACAGCAATGTAATTCAATAACCGATTATTTAAAAATATTCCAAGAAACATTTTAGGAGTTTTATATTTTATTTTATTTTCCATAGAATATTTAATTTTTATGTATTTTAAACTCGATATGCAGAGAAAATAATATAAGAATATTTAGAAATAAAAATATTAGATCACAATATTATTTAAGTATTCATAGTTTTTATTAATTATGTGTATTTAATTATTTATTACAATTGGGTACTTATTGCGTTTCAGCATATGGGTACATAAATACTTTCTTAAAAGCCCCTTAAATTTTATGCCAGAGCCTTCCAACTGTCTTAATCCCCATTTTTTACCGCTTTCATCTTTCAAATTCAACCTTACATCATTATACTATGATAATTTTTGCCATATTTTACTATCCCATAAATTTGTGACCATCATTTCTATTACACTCTGTATACACACTGCAGCTTATGATATGTTTTAATTCTACTTAGTTTGTGTGTAATGCTGAACATGCATATTATCAATTTAGTTTTATTATATATATGTAGTATGTATCTGAATTTTGCGTTTTATATAATGTTTAATATTATTAGCATTCTTACGTAATCGCGGTAAATTTTGGAACGAGCTATCCATGAATATGTAATTGCACACTCTTTCTCTCTGTCTTTACTTATATGCAAAAGTATAAATATTTATAAACATAGCAATAATCATTTTCTCGATGTAAGAAACTTTATTGTTTCCCTTCAAGTAAGAACAATGTGGATTACTTTTCTGTCCATAGTAATTCAAATGCGGTGCAACAGTTAATTTAAGGAGATCAATATCTTTCGCATTCCGGTGGTCTAATTCCTTCCCAAACGTTATCGATTTTTCTAAAGAAACTGGAACACACTTACAGCCCTTTATAATTTTTCATTCATTGTGTTTTAAAATAGAAGCAAAGACCCTGGTGGCTATATTTAACGAACACGAAATTTTATGTCCTTGTTCATTCGGTACCGCGGAAATGCGCATTTTACAATAAAACTTCTTATGTGATTACTTCAAGATTAATATCAGTACCAAAAACATCGATAATTAGTAAACGATAACTACTATTTTCATTCCAAGACTGTGCTTAGGATATGCGACTAGCAATTCCGAAACATTTTTGTTACATAACTTTCATAGACTAATGTGAAATGTGTTTTTCAAAAAATTTACTTTATTTTATGTAATGAGTCAACTCGCAGCTGTGCGGCCTCAGTATCACACTTTTGGGAAAATTCAATAAAGGCCTTATAAGATAAACAACGTCTGCTAAGCACGAATAGGCCGTAACATGGTGAGACGTTACGGCCTGTTCCCAACTCATCTTCACTTTTTAATTCCGAATGGCTAGACCTTCCTGGGCTCATCTCAATATAAAAAAAGGCCCAATCGTAATTTTAGTAGTTTAAAAGACTGTGAGATATTGCGATATTGTACGAATATCTGAGGAAATTTAAGCATTTTGTTTTATTTGTTGTGATAATAATAAATTTTATTCGCTTTTCGTTGAACTTGTGCATTCGATTTATTACGAACCCTTACGCACTCAATAATATGAATAAACAACTTTTTGACGATTTTCGAGTAACATTTCGTACAGCGACCGTTTGCTACAGCAGACTTTTTTATCTGTTTCTAGATCGTCATTATAACGTGAGCTGATTGCATTCATTCTCATAAATGACCATGGCCAAAAAGTAAAATCATCGAAGGCTCGTAATTTTTCTCTTTGTTCAAATTTGATTAAGAATAACGATCGCAGACCGTGTTCGTTTCATGAATCGTTTATAATGCTAAATATGGCTTCCGGCCTCCTATAGTTTAATAGGGAAATAAATTTAATTTTTACCTAAGCCGGGACCAAATTTGTGAAGCGTCATAAAAAATACTAAATATTAAAACCACATAGCATAAAGTTTTTTTTTCCATATGGCCGTTGCAATACAGTTGTGTGAGATATCTTAATCACTGAACTGCACTTTTAAATTTCAAAGCTTTCATTTAAAACATATAATTGCATCTGTGAATCTCCAACATAATTTATTTTAAGTTGTTAATTTAAAATAAAAATTCATAGTAAAATAGTAAATATTAAGTAACTCTAATATAAGATTTGAAGCAATTGCAACAAACAACGAAAGTATATACTACGAAAGTTGTGTAAGAAGAACTATAAATTTTGAAACCTGAATTCATGACTTGTAAGACTCTTATTTTTTTTTTTTTTTTTTTTTTTTTTTTTTTTTTTTGTATAATAACGCAAAACTAATCGCGGTTGAGGCGATACGTGAAACTTTATCCAGCATAGTTAGGAAATTTCGTGCACCCACATATTTATCAGGTATCGCACTATCTCACTTCTGTTTCATTCCTTAAGCTTCATCTTTGATTACGAAAATTTCGAACCCTTGACAGTATGAAAGCTGCACTGGATGGATTGATTGCTTCCTACTCTAAGGAATTCTTTGGTAATGAAATACACGGTATTCCATCAGTTTGGTAAAAGATCTCGTTGAGTGAAAAGGATCATTTTTGATGTTATGTATATCATTTAATTTTGTGTAATATTTATTGAGATATCGACTCTTAATTCTGACAAATTATTACTACCGTTTTTGTTACTTTCTGTTTGAAGATCTGTTATTAAAATTTAGAAATCATTTACCTTAACAAATACTAAGAAATGATCATTTTATGAAACTGTGACTAAAAAGTTGAATTACTTAACTTGCATAAAGTATTCAGTAATTATTTACCTTAACACATATCCTACTGTTAATTCTCGGGTTCGAGAAACATTTATTAAATAAACTACTCAAAGAACAATTACTTGATTTCTAATTAATAAAAACAGGCTGTGATCAAAACGATGAATAGATAATAAACGCAAGCAACTGTACTTTCTTGAAGAGCTGAACATAATAATTGATAAATCTACAGCGTTTGTGTTATATAACTCATTTTCTTAAGATTTGGATATGTACTGTCACTTCTTCTTTTCATTATTTCTCATCAGAATGCAAATGAATTACGAATATTTGAGGAAGAGCTCTTAAATGCTTTTGAGATAGAGCTTTTGGCCAGCGACGCTCGCAGTTATACTTGTTTCTCACTCAGCTACGTTAGTCAGTTGTCATTAGCAATTTTGCTAATCGAGATTAAACCGCACGCTTAAAATTTGAGCTAGCGCTTAGTTAAGCCATTTACATTGTAATCATCTGCTACGAATCACTTTAATTTGAGAATTCAACTTTTCTGCTGTTTAATTTCCGTAAGTGGCAGAGTTTAATTTGTACACACAAGTTGTGCAGTTATTAAAATGCAAAAATAGGCTTTAAAAAAGAAAGTTGTTTAATATCATATTAGAACTTTTAATAATTAGTAATTTCACAGACGGAGCGATAACTCGTTCGTCAGTTTAAGTAGGCTTTAAATTTATTTACAAAGAGAAGAACTTACAGTTAGAACCCAACTTTGTAGAACAATGGTCGGAGACAGCTTTCCCTCCAAGACTCTAAATGGTTGCAACACTTGCAAGCCCTACGGAAGCGTTTAGCTGCATATTGGAGACCATGGGAGCGATCATGAAGCCAGCCATTAGCTTCGATGGTAGAGGTTTCGCCGTTCATGGAGAGATTGGAAAGTCACTTTTTATTGTATCCTGTAGCTGAAATACAAAAGGTCGAAATTACAGTGGCTGCGCTTAGAGGTCAAGCGGTAAACTGGTACAATAACACTGGAAAAAATTACTAGGTGAACCGAGTGGTGAGACTTAGAAATGTGTCGCATTTAAGACCACACTTTTTAGATTGTTTCTCGAAGAGCAGGCCTGCTAGAGTCGAATATTGTACGGTAAATATCAGGTACGTGGGGATGAATTGGCTTAGAATTTATTTTGAGAAAGGTCTGGATTGTGAAACTATTATGCGGGATGAAACCAGATTCGAAAATAATAGAATTAGTATTGCTATGGTTGTTGTAGTATATTCAGGATATTTAAAAGTGGAAGAACTCAGGTAACCAGCCATTAGCTTCGAGTAGTTTTTCGAAATGGCAGTGAATTTGAAACTCGTCGTATTTCAGAAAATATACGTAGTCGAAAGTACAATGAAAGATTTATTTGGAGAGTTTTTGACCATCTGAACCATCTGTTTGTGACCGACTGTACGAACTCGTGCTCGGCACAATTATTTTGTTTTCTAGCATTTTTTTCAATATGCTTTTCAATAATTGCTTCTTTCATTTTATCATACCAGTAAGGTTTTGACTGGACTGAACGGGCATTCCCAGTATCAATAGGATGGTTAACTACCTGACAAAAACCAGGTTTATCGTTAAACAAAGAATTAAATTTTCTTATCAGTACTTCAATCTTCTCTTCCTCTTCAAGCTTTAGGTGGTCTAAGCGCAATTCCGACATGAAAACTTCATCTTCTTCTACAGGGTCCATGTGCACCTGAAACGTAAAATTCTGAAAATTAAGATTTGCGCCGGATGCGCGTAAAAAATCGACCTCCAATATAACGGACGTGAGTAAATTTTTCACGACTTGAAAATTAACTTTTGGCGCCTAGTTTTTAATCTGAACATGCAGTGCGGTTTTCCCTAAACATACGCACTGTTTGGCTCGGGCGGCAAATACTTTTTGTCCTGTGGCATTAAACAGTTTGTAACGACGAAAATGCTTTCTAAAAAATCTTGAGAGGAATGAACATTGTGCCCCTGTGTCCAGGAGTGCAGAGGTTGGTACATTATTTACCAGAATCTGTATCTCCTGCATAGCTATATTTTGTACCATCACGGTATTAAAACGAATTTCTGAGGGGTCTTCCTTCCCACACGGTGACCGTTGCCCCTTTTTGATCACCGGTTTGAGTTTAAATTCTGGTTACTCGCCGCCTCTTTACGCTGATTTTTCTTTCCGCCCCCTTTGCTTTATCTGCGCTCTTGTTATTGAACTTTTCGCTATTACCCGTCTGCCAATAAGCATTGTACTGAACTTGCGGTTTCTTTTGCGAAGTAAACCTTGAGTACTGGTCAAACTGACTTGCACGCGCTTTCTCCGAGTTTCTTCTATTTTGGAATTTCACTGCAAGCTGAAATAGAACTTCTAATATTTGCCGATTACGCACTTCAAGGAAATCTTGCGCTGACGGTAGAATTACTTCAGTAAGTTCATTCTCAGGCCTTTTCCCGTATAATAAATTAAAAATTTGTAGTTTTCGTAAAATAAATTCCGTCAAGTCATCGAAATTACTTTGATATTTACTAAACAATTCTGATTCAAGCTTCGCACGATCTTTAACGACTGGAAATGCTTTTAGTAATGCAGACTTGATATTTTCCCAGTTATACGATTACGATCCTGGGTCCCCCAACAAGAACTTCCCTATGCTCTTATACCAGCTGAGGGCTTGACCTTTTAAGGCTGTAGTAGCGATGGTCAGCTTTTGCAGCTGATTCACAGGATGTAAGGTGAAATGTAGATCCAATTGCTCCAAAAACGTCAGAACTGAGCCCTTGCCGTCAAATGTTGCTGCTGGTTTCATAGATGCACGCAAAGTTTCCACGAGGAATCCAAACCTTTCTACTGGATTCGTGGATGTCTAAGGGACCTGAAAGGTCGGAGGGGTCAACGTAAACTTCCCAGATTATAGCGACATGGTCCGTTGAAAATTGTTTCGGGCGCCAAATGTAAGATTTTCACTAGTGTAATTCTTAGTTACCGCAGAAAGTGACGAATCTTAAGAACTAGTTAGCGAATAATCGCATAAGTTCGTGTGACAAGAAACAAGCTGAAAGGGTAACTAATCCTTTATTATTCCAATAAGATTTAACAAAACTCCATCTTGGAGTGTACAATCAAAGCCGACACTTGGGCTTGAAATTAAGAGACTAAAATTAAACTAAAACTAAGATTAACTAAAGAAATATAGCCGAAGCTATCAAGATTCAAATCGAGATGGCCCCTTTATTTGACTATGAAGCTTACCAAGGGTCTGAGTACGGCCGAGCACAATAACAGCTTTGAGAGAGAGAGAGTGGCCAAAAGGCAGACGCGCGTAAATCAGAAACTCTGATTATCTCTCTCTAAGACCAAAGAACTTCGCGGTTAAATACTGCTCTTCCTCATTATGTATTCAAACGGGATTCTAAAACTACGTTCTGGCCGGATGTAGTAAGTTGAAGTTAAGAATTTGAGAGGAAAGGAACTTTAACTTAAAACTTAACCGTTAATAAAATTAACATAATCCTTACAACCTCAGTTACTATTACAGGAGGCTATTAAAATGGAATGTCCCTTTGAGAGACAACATTCAGAAACCTTTTCAGAAGTGGCAGGATGAAATTAAATATCTTGAGAAAATTAGTATTTTACGATATGTAGCGATAAATGAGAATTCAGAGTTGCATCTATTCGTTGATGCATGTTAGAACTCCTATGGTGCATGTGTCTACATTAGAACTGCAACGCCCGTGGGAGTCAAAATTCAGTTGATCAGAGCCAAATCCAGGGTAGCGCCGTAAAATCTCTGACAATAGCATTATAATTGATGGTCTATTGCATTGGCGCGAGACTGGTTCACTCAGTATACTCCGCCTTAAATTTGCCCTGATTTGAAAATTATTGCATGGAGTGATTCTATGTTAGCACTCTAGTGGATTAAAAACCGTGGTAATTGGTCAGTGTTAGTTGCGAATAGAGTAAAAGAAATAAACAGACTGTTTCCTTCTCAGTGTTGGCGCCATGTACCAGGTGATTTAAACTCGGCAGACATACTTTCAAGAGGCAGGTCCCCTCGTTCATTTTCCTATTCTCTTTGGTGGGAGGGTCCATTCTGGCTCCTGTAGCCTATTAACAACTGGCCACTAGACCGTTTGGCTTAAGAGACCTCTGAGGTAGAAAGAGAAAAAAGGAAGGTCAGATTGTGTAACCTTAATTTGGTTGAAGGGGAAATACCTTGGTATGCAATTAGGTTTTTCGAATTTTCAATCCATCATTCAATTAGTCGCATGGATATTGCGATTTGTGAAAAACACAAAAAGTAAACGTGCATTTCGAGAAATTGGAGATTTAACCGTTTATGAGATGGAATATGCCGAAAAAACTCTTATACAAATTGTACAAGTATTCTCCCTCCGTCGATTCTATTCCCAGTATGAGTGTCATCTCAGACAGAGAAGGTATAAAAAGGGTGAAAACGCGCATTACAGAGCGATCAGACGACCTTGAATTTATTTGTTCAATTATTTTACCAAACCGGTGCATTTTCACACAGCGTCTGATAGAATATTATCATTTACAAAATTTTTAAGCTAGAACCCAAATATTACTCGGAATATTAAGGGAGCGATTTTGGATAGTGAGGGGCAGAAGAGCGGTCAGGAAAGTCGCAAAAATTTGTGTAAGATGCAATCGATACAAGGCCAAGTCTCCCGGTTGCGAGCCGGTGTCTTCACCAGGTGATCGTGTCAATGACGCAGCGGTGTTCGAGGTGGTAGGAGTTGATTTGACGGGGCCCTTGTATGTGAAGGGAGGTGAAAGAGTTTGGATCGTTTTGTTCACATGTGCAATATATAGAACCGTTCATTTGGAATTGACTTCCTCATTATCTACCGACGTATTCTTGTTGTCGTTGAGACGATTCGTAGCCAGAAGGAGGAGGCCGAGAATAATTTATCCCGACAACGGAACTAATTTCAGAGGAGCGCAAAGAGATTAACATCAATTGGGAAAAACTTTTGAGGCTAACGGCTATACAACGCATAATATGGAAGTTAAATCCTCTCACAGCCGCTTGGTGGGAGCGGTTAGTTCGTGTAGTAAAGAAACTATTGAGAAGGACACTTGGTTACGCGGTTCTTACAACCGAGGATTTGTACAGAGTATTCTGCGACTGTGAGTCAGTAATTAACCTTAGACCTCTTACCTATGTGTCCGAAAATTCGGATGATTTAATCCTA